ATCGAAATAAAAGCAGTGTCGATAACTAATTGATAACTACATAAGGGTAAGGGTTCAACTAGTCAATGCGTTCCAATACGGTTGTGGACAATGGATGACGAGAAATTGAAGACCAGCATCAAATATATCGATAAAACTGTTCTGCAAATTTTGTGGTAATCGCTTAAGAAAAGCCAAGCCAAGCCAATTTTTTTGAAAAACGTGTTTTTGGTACATTTCGAACCTATTCGTCAATATCTCATGAAAAAATTATCCAATCAACATAAGCGACCTACAGTCCTCTTACAAAAATAAATTACTTTGCCGATTTCGATGAAAATTATAAGTGTTACAAGCGACCATGATGCAATAATGAAAGGTGTTATACGTTGGCAACTTCTCGCTCTAATCCGCCATCTTGAACTACCTTAGGAGAAACTGTGTTGTTTCTTTGCTATTTTCACTGAACATTTCCCAAAATATTAGAAAAAAATTCTGAACAAGCTACATTGATTCAATTTTCGTTGTTCGTTTTGTTCTTATTCGCTGACATTTGTTTTCCAATTGCGTGAAATTTGGTAAGTATTGTAATAAAACCGAATTATTTTACAAATAAATTATAATTTTGCATTTATTAGGTCATTTCCTTAGTGTTTCGCTGACCGACCTGTGCTGGTATTGTGATTAAGAGCTAATACACGCAAGTTACAACATATTATTTTGACTTTATTGATGAACCATTCCATTTGAGCTCTTTGTTATTTCAAAACCTAATGAACCATTTATTCGCAGATTTTTCGGACGATTCTGCTGTGCTGCGTTCCTGCTCCGCCTGTATATTGCTCCGCCCGTATTTTATAGTGTTGCGTTCCTGTTGCGCCTTTGCATTAGTGTGTGCGTTGTGATTTAGACACGTTGAAGTAAGTTTAAACCAGGTTCTCGTTTGTTAAAAACCTAAAAAACCATTTATTTGCAGATTTTTTGTATGCTTCTGCTGTGCTGCGTTCCTGCTCCACCCGTGTATTAGATTGCTGCGTTCCTGTTAACATACATATCGTCGCTTAAAGTACAAAACCGCGTAAAATTTGCTGCTAAAAATTGGATTCGCTCACACACGTTTTTGGATCAATCCTTATCTATTCTTCCTGAAATATACTAGCCAAAAATGCGATTGCTTTTTACAAAAAGATAACCATTTTGAAATATGAGTGTTTTTACTCTCTAGAAATTAATTTATGCAACCTCGCATACGTGGGTTTGCATTATCTCTATACGCGGTTTTGCAATTTATTGATACATGGTTTTGTACTTTAAACGACGATATGTATGTAGATGTATGTACATGTATATCACATATATTGACTTAGATATGTATACACAATTAATGGTGTACATAAATTTTTTTATATTGAAACTAGATATGTATATAGTACATATTTTATTATTATTAGTCGGTTCAAAAAAGTCCTATCTCAAATAAAAATACTTCGAAAATGTGCTGAGATAGGGTGTTTTTGAACCGAGTTCCGAGATAGGGCATTTTTCAATCAAATTCTAAAATAGGGCGTTTTTCAGCCAAATTTTGAAATAGGGCGTTGAAAAGCTTTCTGATATCGGGCGTTTTCGACCTGGCTGCCGAGATAGGTCGATCTTCTACTCAGCCATCGATATATGGTCGAAGTTTTCGTTATATGGAAGACGATTAAACACGATTTGTTTTTAATCGATTCTAAAAAAACTAAGGTAATTTTTAGCCACTTCAAACTTGCATATAATTAGACTAGAATTGAAGGGGCTATAAAACTGAGTGCTCAAAAAAATTCTAACACTTCTGAGAAAAAAGTTTGAATTTTGGTTTTAAAATTCGGTTTATATGGGTTTTGTTAGAAATTCAACTTTACTTTTGTTGCAAATTCTAAGCAATAAATAAATTAACATGAGAGGGAAATAATATCACTTTGAAATGGGGTTGCTATTGATATGACCGATACTGTATGTATATAATAAATTTTGTACAATTAAAAAAGTGGATTTACTAAAATGAACACAACGTATTAATTACAAATTCTGAAATATGTCGTTAATTTCAAAAACAAATAAACAAATTTTTAAAAAGTAGTCAATGCTTGCTGTATGACACGAACTTGGATATACGTGGACTTGGGTAATGTATAATTCCTTATATGATTCCTCAAAGTATCCCTTGTATAACACAAAAAAACCTTAGTGCGACTATATCAGGTTTGATAGCTGTTGGCCATACCAATAATGCCTCATACTAAGATTCACTAGATCAATTCGTGTTCTCCGAGAAAAAAAATTTTCACGATCCAAAAATCTGAAAAATTGTTTTTCTCCAAAGTTTGAACATTTATCGTTTTTGGCCTATATTTTGTTGAAAATACCATACAAAGCAAATATAGGGCAAAAAACAAAGAATTTTCAAAATTTTGAGAAAAGAATTTGGCGGCTATACTCAGATTTTTGAATCGTGAAATTTTTTTTCTCGAGAACACGAATTGATCAAGTAAAACTGAGCATGAGGCATTATTGGTATGGTCAACAGCTATGAAACCTGATATATGCGCACAAGAAGCCTATATGAAAGAGGGGGACAAAAGATCACACGTAAATGAATTCCTCTTTTTGGCCTGTACAATATAAGGGACACATTTCAAATTCATTCATAATTTTCTTAGTGATACGGCTCATAAAAGGAATTATATAAGCCATACTGTTCTAGCTGGGTATTCATCAGCTCGAAAATTTTAAGCATATTATCATATTCCTGTAAATAAAAACACGCCTAATTTTATTATTTTAATTATCTACAATTTTACGAGACTACCAAGCCATATATATATCTTTTCTGATAATCGGAACGCTGTTGAGAAGGCATACAATTTAGTACTTTTTCAACTAAAAGGCTTTTTTTTATTCCCGTTTATCTTGTACTTCCAAAATACAATATTGACCTAAGGTAGTTCGATTTCGAGCTGTCACAACGTACAACACCTTTCATTATTGCATCATGACAAGCGACCATAATCGAAAAATTGAAATTTCAATCAATTTCTTTTTATAGTAAATGAAAATCTGATGAGAAATGTAGATGTTACGGAACACAATCTGCACAAAAAATATGTATTTTAGCGAAGAGCACATCATTACCTTTCGAACTGTTGGTCGCTCAAGTAGCCCAAAAGTCAAAAATGTACCAAAATATTTTGTGTATTTTTTGCATCGACGTGATATGCATTTTCAATATAAAAAATATGCCA